TTTTTTATTAATTATTTCTATATTCACTTACCTTTCTTTGCTACAATTCCTGTAGCATTGACTAAACCATCACTGAAAGAACCAACAATTTCACCATCTCGTACCATCTCGTTCCATAATTCTGCCAGTCCATCGCGATAAAGGAATCGTTGTAGATCAGTCTTCAACCACTTGGCGTCCAATCTTACTTCCGGCCTAACTGTTATATTTAATTGGCTACTCATCTTGTTGACAATCTTATTTATAAAGACTTCCAATGTATAGCCATATAGCCAGATCCGTTAATACTCCGATCTTCCTTATGAGATTTTGTTACAAATAATAGTCTTGTTTTTTTCAAAAATACTTTTTTCTTTTCACCTCCTGACGTATCTCGCATGACAGTTGTTAATTGGTCTCTTCGCGAATCAATAAATAAAAAATACTGTCTCAAGAATGATTAATTTATTACCTCTTAGTTCTTTTCTCCCTCCCTCTCTTTTTCTTTATCTCTTTCTTTCTCAAATTCTTGAGCTTGAATTCGGCGTTAATTAAAGAAAAGAACAAGGGAATATTCCTTAGAGTAAGTTCTCGAGACCGTTAAACGTTAGACTGTTATTCCTGGTCGCAGACTTTAATCACGGGATAAGGACGAGGTTAGCGATCAGCGCACCTTGAGGCGGCTCGACCGGAGTTTTTGCCTTCGCCGCTCGTTTCGTCCTCTAGCTGTCTGTCACCATCTGTAAACATCCGTCGCTGCAATTCACCAATCGCGATTAAAAACTCAACGGAGCATCGTGACATTACGGTAATGTTATTTTGACGCGCGCACACTCATGCACACAACACAACACACAAAGAGGTTTCTCATCTGTTTCACCCCCGATCCCGATAGTCGATCGGCTGCTCGATTACCCACTGATTATTACGAAACTAGTGTCGCTAATATTCGCGCGATAGCGCGGTAATCGAGCGCGTTCAGCGCGCGACATGTTTACAATTGTTTACATGCCGCTTTTGGCGTGATCTGTCTGACATCTTACACGTGTCAACGTATACGCGAAGCGAGAGATCTTCCTTATCGCAAGATTCTCCACCTTTCCTGACAGTCCGGACCAGTCCGGACATCGGACGGATCGAACGCTTTTCTAGTTGAGATCAGCTGTTTCCCTTCAGCCACGGTTCCTGCTTTGCGTTCACCACGTGATCACGTTGGCGCGAAAGAAAACGAGGCTATATTTATAACGAATTTATAAGGGGCCTTATTCTTGAAAAATATCGCAATATATTAAGAAGTCTATAACGTAACGTATACTATAATATTTTTTCATGTGCTATCAATTGTACGTGATATTTTTCGAGAATGCGGTCTCCTGATTTACTGTCATATATATATAATATTGTTAGCAAATTATATCATAACATATAATGTGTTTACCAGAATTGTATAGCAACTCTCGTGCTTGTTTCTTTTATTATAGTTTATTTTTAATCTGATTTAATTAACTCTTCATTTTTTTCTAGTTTTCTAAAAATTAGGAAAGATAAAATTGAACTGAGACGATGATATAACGACATTTACAGTATGTGACGTCATTAATTCAATTCGGATCGGTTTAAATTAAATTCTATATATTACACTCAATGCAATAAATCTGCATTACAAGAATAGGCATATATATCCTCATTTGCTGGCAAATTCATGTCTTCACGCTACAAAAACTTTGAAACTTATCGACAACTTCCCAGCAAACACCAAATATATACAAATACAAATTTTATAATAATAATGAAATGTTTAAAGTACTTTTTTACTCTCTCTCTCTCTCTCTCTCTCTCTCTCTGTCCGGCGTGCGTTTTCACACATATATTAGATTTATTATTTATAACTATAAATCCATGGTGAATGTCTATGATTAAATCTGCTTGACTATTTATAGTATTCATTGGCCGGTATTCATAGTCAGTTCTTATATTCAAGATCGTCTTAAGTTCAGTCTTGAATTAAGCGGGGAGCATAGACTTTTGCATAACGCATAAAGCATGTGCATAAGGAATTTCATTGGTCCATTTTCTTATGCATGAGTCAATGGACCAATCAAATTCTTTATATATATGGTTTATGCGTTATGCAAAAGTCTGTGCTCCCCGCTTTACGAACCAATCAGAGAGCCGCTTTAACATCTTAAGACATTACTTAAGACAGTCTTCAAATAAGAACTGACTATGAATACCGACCATTGAGTCCTCTTTAATGTGGATGTGAACAACATAATGCAAACAGCCTTCTTTTGTCTTTCAGTTCTATTATAAACTTGCAAAAATTAGCTATGTTTTAAAATGTATACCTATATAAAAAAATTAATCTACTTATATGAATAATCAGTTTTAGAATTCTATCTTATAGATTAGAATTAAAAAAATGTATGTACCACAGAAATATCTCTCTCTCTCTCTCATCGCATTTAAAACGATATGACAGCTTTCATAGTTAAATATATGATTGATTTCCATATCAGCTGTGCGCTGTTGCGAACTGCGAGTCAGACCATCAGAGCATGTCAGACGGGCTTTAATATACCCATTGCGTTTGGCCAAAATTTTATAGGTTAAATTCTACATTGAATGTCGCAAAATATTATATTACGCTGTTCGAAGTGAACAAGGTACAAAATAAAAATCCACAACAAGCGTCTGGCTACCAAAAATATTTGAAATATGTTCAGTGGCATAAAATATTCGCTTAGATACAATCCAAATAAATTTGGTGAGAAACTCATTTATGCCAGTAACATTTCAATTTGAAAGAAAATCATTGCTAAGTCAAAGTTTAATATTCTATAATATGTTAGAAAAATTGAGCGTGGAGTAGTAGTTAATTGTTGATATAATTTTAGGTTGTCAATTGCTGGCATACTTCTCAACGAAAACAACACTTAAAAGCAATCTAACGAAGACAGAATATACACGAGGTGCTTATCCACACGCATGCGGACAACCAACGTCAACAACACACCCACACTTAATAAAGCATGGCGAGGTGCTGCCAGGTATATCACTTCAGGAACTTAAGAGAAGACGTTCTAAATTAGTGGAGTGTGTCACGTTAATGGCAAATGCCAAAAATATACGGAGGCAGCAAATAGTCGTTATACCTGCATCGTCCAAGGTTTACATGTCTGATAAGATACCATATGTTTTTCGGCAAAATACAGACTTCCTGTACTTCTCTGGCTGTCAGGAGCCTGATAGTATTCTAGTACTTACGTGCATGGAGGATAAATCATCTTACACCTTATTTGTGAGAGCGAGAGACAAACATTCAGAATTATGGGATGGCCCAAGAACCGGCGTTGAAATGGCGACAGGAGTGTTTGGCACAGATTACGCTTTGCCAGTTACAGAATTCGAACAGTTCCTGACATCACTTATACAAGAGGACAAAGGCAGCATTGTATGGTATGATCATGCGGATGTTGTTCAACCGATCTTGCATAAGAAGCTGTGTCAATTGATTAAATTGACAGACAATCAAATATTTGCTTCCCCCAAGATATTGTTTCATCAAATTCGCTTGATCAAGAGCGCCTGCGAAATCGATTTAATGCGGGAGAGCTGCAGAATTGCCTCTGATGCTATTGTAAAAACAATCCAATCTTCAAAGCCGGGAATGAGCGAGCATCAGTTATTCGCCACTGTAGATTATGAATGTCGTATGCGCGGAGCGAAATACTTGGCGTATCCTCCGGTCGTAGCAGCGGGCAGGAATGCAAACGTAATACATTACATCACTAATAATCAAATTATACAAAGCGGTGATTTAGTTTTAATGGATGCAGGTTTGTACAGAGATGTGTAGAACTATAGGCCTGTTCTTTTTAGCTGAAGTTTTTGCACCGTTCATCTTTCTGTCCACTTGCAGGTTGCGAGTATCACGGATATTCATCCGATATAACGCGGACGTGGCCAATTAGTGGAAAATTTACGCCAGAACAAAAAGTTCTTTACGAAATAGTACTTGATGTGCAAAAAAATTTGGTAAAGAGTCTGAAGGAAATGCCATCGTTGGACAACGTATTCCGTCATATGTGTTTCCTTCTAGGAGAACGATTGCAAGAAATTAACATAATACCGAAGAACATAGACGAAAGTAAATTATTAACGGCCGCATACGCGTACTGTCCGCACCATGTCAGTCATTATCTTGGAATGGATGTGCACGACACGGGAAAAATATCCAGAAGCGTAAGGATACAGCCTGGAATGATAATAACAATGGAACCTGGTACTACTTGAATGCTTTATATTTGTTTTAAAGAACTATTTGTAAATTAATATAAATTAATGTATGTTTCTTTTCATTACATTAGGCGTTTACATAAATCCGGAGACTCCTTATGCACCGTCACACTTCCATGGTTTAGGTATACGTATAGAGGATGATATTTTAATAACAGAAAATGGTCCAGAAATCTTAACGAAAGACTGTCCGAAGGAGATAGCGGAAATTGAAGCTTTAGCAAGCTAAAAGTCAAGGACATTTAATAGTGATTAATATACAAGTACGCAGAATACATTGTAAAACGATATGTTTCTGTTTTTTACTTACATGTATATAAAAGAGTATATGCGTGTAAATATGCGGACAATTGCGTAAGCATTTATTGTATATGAAAGTAAGTCTTGGGGTTTCGCTTTCATATGCACTTTAGATATATTTTTTATACGTATATAAAATAATTGAATTTTTTATATTCTTCCAAACCCAACTTTTACTTACTGTGAAGTATTTATCTCGTAGATAAATATGTCATAAAAAAATTGCTTTGTACAAATGGCTCTATATACACATATGTCTGTGCATTATATAATTATATATTATTTTATTCAATGAGGACAATTCAAACTAATATAATTGTATAATACATAGAGACCTTCAATATAGTTGGCATTTCTTTTATTTTTTTTTACATACAATAACATACATTTTATTATATATATAAATTTATATCAAGAAAACTTACATTATTCAAAAATTTGTTTAAATGAAAATAGATGAATATTGCATACTTGAAACCAGTAAAGTATTACTAGAATCAATAACAGTAAAGTATATATGAAAAGAGCTAACGTGATCATTGATACAATAAAATTCAGGTCGTATCACAATCTATGGCACAGTCACACTGTTACTTTAATAAGACGAGCATTTCATTTCGATCTACATGGATGGGCAACAAATACGTAAATAAAAATAAAGAACAATCGCTTTCTACAAAATACTTTAGCAAAAGTAGTATTCAAAATGAACTAATACACTAAAATGTGTGTAAAAAAATGCACAATTCTTTTCACGATCGTATTACAATGTATATAATCTATTATATGTAATATAATCCATGAGATTCTGGAAAAAGCAATGGATTGCTATTTATTGTTTAGCCGGAACACTGCTTACAACTTCCGTAATTCAACATCGGTTCGTTTTAAATTTATAAAGTTGGAGAGTTGCTTCGCTCGTAAACGAGCCCAAACCAAGTGATTCTGCATCGCATGGATTTGCGCCGCCGCGAGTGCAGCTGCTTCAGGATGCACGACTGTCGTACACCCAAGGCCTGTAAATATAATTTAATTATTATATTTTAGAAGACAAATTCAATTATGAATATAAATTAGATAGAATACCTGAAGGAACGTCAAGCGAGGACCACACGCTTCGTTCAATGTTGTCCGATTTCAAAGGTGGGCAATTTATGACAGGCAAGACCGTATTGCCGGAGAGTACTGGACCCAAACCATTGCTGCGACCGGCTACCGCTATCAGTACCACCTACAAAAAAAGAAATAAGAAGCGTGTGATAAATGGAAATAAATAATCTTTTTATAACTATCATTTTCTTTATCGTAACGAGTTTGGTGGTTAAGACATAACAGGATAACGCAGATCGTTTCGACGGGTCAGTATAAGTTGTTGATACAGTTATCCTTTGCTAGCACGTTTGATATCATGAATTAGTGACCAATGTCGTAACAATAAATATCACGATAAAATTGCACAATATCGTATTGCTGCAAGTTGCTGTTATTATCGACATTGTGTAATTAAAAAAATATTCAAATGACTTGGATCTCTTATAACATTTCAATGATTATAAATTATTAATAATTATTAATCATATATAAGCATTTTCGTAATTTTGACAATGATTCAGTAATAAGTAATATTCGACGAAATCTAATATTTTACTTAATCTATTAAAAGTTCATTAACTATTAAACTGTGAAATTGCAAACGTACGTTTTCGCTGCCTTCATATTCGGCAAGAATATTTAGAGTTTCCTCAGTACCCTTATGAGCACTGCAGACTCGGAGTTGGGGTTTTAGGCCTAATGCTGTAGCATGCTTTGCAATTTCTCGGCAATGTCCCTCGTCGGATGGTGAACCCATAAGTATAATAACCAATGGAGTGGGTGCTTCAATAACATAATCCAACTGTTCTTCTACCCATTTAAAATTACACTTTACAGTCTCCAAATTCTGTTGTGTTACATTGGAAAGATCCCTGTATACCTAAACAGATATAATAAATTTCTATGATATTGACGAAAATATCAACTATTGAATAAGAAAATCTTACTTGTTTATCTTTCATCTGTTTCTTATCTCCAGAAGGCCAAAGTCTCCAGGAATCGCTGTCAATAATATCAGCTAACAAAATCTCTCCCTTCGAGTCCACACCGAATTCTATTTTCATATCTATCAGCGAGCTATTACGCACTGCCCAAGCTCTCTCAAGAATCTCAAAAATGACAACAGTAGTGCGTTTCATAATATCTACTTCGTCCTTCGTTATCTTTCTACCGCCCATTTGGAAGTCTGCGGAAATAATTTGCTGGTCAGACCATTGTGGATCATGATTAGCATCATCCTTAAAGAACGTCTCCTGCAGAGGCGGATTGAATCTGTAGCCCTCAGGTACCCCTGAAATAATTATACATGAATAGTATTGTGATAACATTTTCTTCAGCTCTATTAATGCTGAGGAAAATATATTAGGTTCAGACACGTACCGGGATGTCTTTTTAGAAAGCTACCAGTTGCCTGCCTTCTAGTAACCCATTCAATTGGTATCATATCACATTTCTTCGCTATGAAAGACTTTGGACCGGCGGATTTGACGTAAGCTGTTTGTATACCAGCTTGATTAAGCAATCCGAAGACCTTTATGGTGGTAGATGTGCTAATCGTTGCTTTGCCTTCTAATGCATGAGACTTTACGCCGTCACCAGCGGTAATGCGATCTTTGCTTTCCAGCAAACATAACGTAGGATCATTCAGAAGTTCATAAACCTTTTTTGTCTTTCCTTCGTTAATGACTTTCCCAAGTTTATAATCTACAAAAAACAGAAGAGAGAAAATTATCTCTCAATATTGATTGGTGCGAAAACAAATTTCTTTATTTTATAACAAATACAGAAAACAAGTTGATAATGTTTCCCCTCCTTTAAGAGAATGTTCCGAAATTTGTATGTAAATGTATTGTTTTCTTTTCATACTGTTTTATTGTCATACAAATGACCATTTATTAATTTTTCAGACTACATAGTCAAAATTAAGTTTTAATAATATTATTTGTGATATAAACTGCAAAACACAGATATATTAAGGCACTTGCATAAAACACCGGCCGGTGTATAAGTGCATGATAATGCGATGGTCGATAGACCACCTGTTGCTTTGGCAAAACCCATTTACTTCTTCATGTTTTCTTTCAGATTACTCCGAATTATTCAGACATAAACGTCACGAGATTCGCGTCTATGATTAAGGGGTTACTTCACCTTGACTGCCTAAAAATCATAGGTAACTTTGGGAATTTTTTTTTAAATCGAATCGAATCCAAATGATATCCAAACGATCTGTCTATATGAATTTCATATTCACCTTCACACATTTTAAGTTTTTTGGCAGATGTACTCACATTCTCGATGTCTTTTTTCAGAGAAAATCGGTTCAACGGTCGTTTATTTGAAATTCTGGACTTGCTCGCTCGTGTGGTACCAGTTTTAGAGCCTTTTTTTGTAGAATATACAACGCTTAACATGATAAAGTAAACGCGAAAATCTATTACTGTGTAGAAAATCTATTACTTTATAGAGTCTAAACACGGTCTAAAGCAGCAGCGTATAAACAGCTATTCTGATGTTACCTGTGTAACGTATGATTTCAAAAAGACTTAAGAAAACCTTACTGCCACTTACATGTAAAAATCGAAGCTGTTAGTTATAGACCTAATTTACAAGTTCAGGTATTCCGAATTGCTCCGAACCTCTCGTCGGTACTACAGACATGCTTCACTAAACTGACTCGAAACTTCATAAAAAAATATAAATTTTTAATTTTAACTATTAGAACCTTATTTTTAAGATCATAAACTGTCATTTAAGACAAAAAAGATTCGAATTTTTTGAAACCTCCAAGGTTGTGTAATCCCTTAATATCATGCTTCTACTGAACATAAGCGGAAAACACTTGTTCAACTAAATTAATGCTTTTAACGTTCTCTATCGGACTTACCAGCCATCTTACCAGCCACTCTAACGTCTACTATTGGAATGAATGTAAGTCGCTTGATTTCACATACATTTCTTTAGCAATCCCCACTACGATCTTCGTCTGCTTAACTTCCGATTGGCTCGGAGTTTCTCTGAAGCTCTGTCGTTGCGACAACGTGATATCGACAACGAAAAATGATACAAATAATATTTTTCTTGCTACACATGTCAAAATAAGTTATTTACTCTTGCGTGTTATAACTCGTGCATTCTCTGTCCAGTAAATTTCCAGTAGATCCGAAACACATTCTAGAAGTTCTCTGTGGATTGATAGATAACTGAGATTTAGATTAATTGTTACAATACTCCTCTGTATTAGAAATATAGAATACATATATAAATTAAATTATACATTCATTTGTTAATAAAGAGATAATTAAAAGATTTAAAAAATATTTTATCTAGCTATTTGTTCAACACAGAGATGACAGGATATGAAATAGTTATTTAAATATTATCTTATCGTTATATTTTTTTTCTTATCGTATGTCAAAGTAATTATTTTGACATATGATAAGAGAAAAAAATTTTCCTTGCTTTTTCAAATTTAATATATAGAAGCCAGAATTAGTTTCTTGTTAATTATAAATTGCAAATAATTATGAAAATAATTATGATTATTATATTAATAATTATAATTTTAATATTAATTATAATTTCTCTAATTGAAAATTTACTTTTAATTAAATTTAATCAAAAGTAATTTATAAATAATTTAAAATTACAATTAAACATGTAGAGCTCGAGAAACAAATCGAAAAGGAAACAAATTACCAATGTGAGCTGTCGCGGTTATTGATATCTATAATTAATAAAATAAATCAATTTGGATATAAAATTCATAAACGTCTTGACCCTAGGTTCGAATCCTCTTCTCTGCGTTTCAAAATAAATAATTACAATGGAAAAACAAAAATAGTTATGATTTGAATTCTCTTCCATTAAATAATTAAATTGAACATGCAAATTAAAGATACTCAAGATGTAAGGTCGAAAGATAAAACGTTGACTGTCATTATAGATTGAAAATCCTGAGTTAAAAATATCGAAGAGTTCGAACGTTATGAGTTTAAAATAGATGATTTATTATATTAATTTTATGCTGATAACCGCGGCTTACAATTTTTTTCCTTTTAAATAATTTAATATAATATATATATATATATATACACACACACACACACACACAAAATTATAAATTTTTTTTTCATCCAAGTCAGGTATACGTCGATAGTGTATCGCGACGAGTGTTAAGTTTAACGTGTATGGAATTACGACATACATTACATAATAGAAATAATTCCTTAAATTTCAATCGTCAAAATCAATAAAATTGGACCGTGACATCAATGATGACTAATCGTTTGAGAGCGTCGAAATCTCGTCGATTGTCACAAGGACAAAGAAATCATTGTGAGGCTACCTTCGGAACTTCACAAAATTCAAACAGGTTTATGTCACAATTACACGTTTATTCAAGGTCATGCTAATGTGTTATCAGCGGTGGAACGCTGTTAATTTCTATAATCACACGGCAAATGACGTAAACATCGTTAGTTTGGATGTAAGTATTATATCTCAAAATAAAAATATAAAAATTCTATAGATTGCTTAATATTACATACGATTAAAGTTATAGGCATAGGCATCAATAACCGTAACAGTTCATATTGTTTCTGTTTTGATTAATTTGTGGAGCTTAATTACGGTTTACTTGCAATTTTAAATTATTTATATAATTACTTTTGATTAAACTCAATTATTACGTTATTAGTAAGTATGTAAAATTTGGACGTAATTCTCTTACTTTTCTTTATTTAAAAGTTATTTTTTTGTTAGTTTCGATTCTAATAATAATTCGTGTTTTGTAGTAATTATTTGCAAATTGATAAGATCATAACATTACAAATTAAATTTAATTTTTTATATATACTAAAACTTTAATAGATTCGTGCGAAAGTTTATTTGAATCTATCTACTCGTTTAAAAGTTATTTATTTAAAACTATAAAATGTGGTTATTTGATTGCTGCAGAAAATTATTATAAATTTTAAATCATTTGTTTCGTTTTTTACAATTGGTTTCCGGGTATATTTATGACAAAAATTTGTCAATTAATTAGCTGATATTAGCTAACCGATGTTTAACCGATATTTTTAGCTGATATTGTACAGTTAATAGCAAAACATCTTTAAGTGCTCTGCCCTTGATCGATCCTAGTTTTAGCGTGATCCATGTCAATTCTTCCGATGCCTGTCGTTGTAGATGAGAGATAGAAAAAGAAAAAAAAACGAAAGAAAGAGAAAGAGATATTATCTCTCTAAGAGATGGTCCATTCGTCTCTTGAATCGACTTGCACACGCATCCTCCCGTATCGTCCCTCTTCTTCGAGAAGGAAGAGATAATGGTTGCGGGACCGAGCCCCTCCGACTGGCAGTGAGCTTTTCCATTGGCTGCTACGAGGTATCCCCTTCGCTCCAATTTGTGGTTTGTAGTTCGGAATGCGAAGCACACGTTTCATATGAACCAGACGTGTTCCCAAAGCGGGACGAGAAGCACGAGAAGGTTTCTCGGTGCGTCTCTGCACGCACTCGACACACGTGAGGTACGTGCATCGCTTCCTCATACATCCGTGGATCTTCACGGATCCTCGCGAACCAAGCGTGACTCGCGCATTACTTATTCGCGTGCGTTTTCATTATTTCATAATTCGAAAAGTCAAACTTGTAGTTATCTTTTTGTGATGTTCGTGAAATCGCAAAGTGAAGACCCACGGATAGGGAAGAAGGCCAATCGTGTGTCCAATGTGCGACGGAATGCAATCCTTCATCTGGAGCATCCGTCGCGAACTTGGCTAATCTTTAGCTTCATTACATTATTTCGTGTCATGCTGTTAACAGTGTTAATCCATTGAGATCACACGAGTCTGATTCACAATGTGAACTTGTATACAAATATGAAAATATAAGTTGATTTGATAAAAAAACTTATTATTCTTTAAGGTATATGTATCTTTATATTTGTAAACTAGGAAAAAATTTAGTGCCTTCAGTAAAATCATTTTAGTGGAGTTTATTTTTTAACAGCGACCAAATATTTTGTTTATATAACAAAAAATTTAGTTACTTTTGCAATTTTTTATTTTGTAAATAACAAAAATATTTGTTTATATTAACTAAATAATTTAATTCACATTACAGTTTTATTCCATATATTTGAAAAAAAAAATTGTCACAAAACATTTTAGTTTATAGGACAAAACATTTTTTCTAGTGTAATTTGTTCTTGATAGACAAGAAAGAAATTTATGCTTGATTTTTATTATTTTTCAGTTTTATGAATAATGAAATAATGGATTACATATATATATACTAAATCTATTTTTTGTCTACACTAAACTACACTAGAATTCTTTTTTGTTTTCGTCAAACGTATGTGTATACCTATTTCACTTTAAGTTCCAAAAGTGTAAACTAGTTCAGGCATAGAAAACAGGCCGTACACTATTCATTGAGTATGACTTTTTTCAATACGCAAGAAAATCTTATTTTTTTACTGAAGTAACGCGAGCTTTCAGAATGAGAAAAATATATGAGTTAACTTCAATCAAACTTGAATTAACTTAAAATCATTAATTACCATTCATAAAGTTTCAATTTAATTCATTAAGCAACGTTTGCATTTTATTTTATAATCATGTCTTATTAATATGTGAATAGAATTGAATTATTTCTTAGAATTATTATAAATTTTTGTTTAATTAAACTTAAAATAAACTTAAAAATAAGAAATTAGAGATTTTATCTTAAGTAATTCGAGAGTTTGATTAAATTAATCGAAATCGCCTCGTGTAAAAAATTATTGCGTTTGAATATTTTTTTATTGCGGTCCTTTACTCTGCTTGATTTCATGCTTCGTACATATCAAATATCATTTTTAATTTGTTCAGCAATTTCTTAACTGATTCATGATAAGTACAATATATTGACAATAGTTGCGGACAATAATTATTTTATATGCACAGAGGAAAATATTTTCATTTAGCTGTTCGATTTTACTCTCTCTCTCTCTCTCTCTCTCTCTCTCTCTCTTTCTCTTCACACATACACACACACATACACACTTCTTTTTTAAAATTCTTTTATTCTAATTCTTACTTTAGTTTAAATAAATTGACACAACTATAAATTCAATGATTAAGCGACAGAAAAGTATTTTCTTTGAGAGATAAATATATGATACATTTATTTTTGATCTCAGTAATTGTAAAACAAATCTATACATCTCTTTCAACAGTGATTAAAAAACAGAACATATATATAGTTGTAATGAGCATTAATACCTCTGGATTAAAATTTTAAGTTAAAATCTTAGAATATCAGTTAATATTATACATTACAGATTTTGATAAGAAAAAAAAGTATACATTTGACTTACTTCATCAAAAAATTAATATTTATAACAAAATAACTCCTTCTATTTTTCTTTTCTAATAAATAAGTTACATGAGTTATCTTTTATGTTTGTTTTTGCAATTTCTGTCTAGTTTTGAAAATCACTAGTTAATCAAACTTAGAATGTGAGATAAGTAAAAAAAAAGACAACTAACTTATTGCAGAAAAATATGCAATTTCTCGCGTGATGTAAAAGGATTGATTTGTTGTAAACACAAATATAACTGTTCTATATTATGACATTTATGATGTCAATACGCTGTAAAATGATGAAATCAGTTGCGAAATGCAGGTTGCGCAAATGTAATGAGAAAACATAGTTGTAGTATTGGACAAACGTAAGATATGTGGATTCTATCAGTCCGTTGGGGGTCAATAGTTTACAAGGGCAATGCAGATAATACACAAAGAGGAATTACGAAAGGATCTACTCTCTCTTTAGACATTTTAATAGGATATACAATACATAATTTGTATCCAATATATATCTGAATGAAATCTTTATATATCAAATATAGTATATTAAGCTTATCAATGGAAGAGTATATACATATATTTAAATCCAGAGAAAATTTTAATTTTATTACATTAGAATTATTAAAACTTAATTGTACAATCTGAAAAATATTATATATAATAATTAAATATTGATGATAAGAGCGTATTTGTATAATCTTTTCTAAAATTTTTAGTCCAATTTGTCTGTCTTAAGTGTGTACTACTAATTAAACTTATACGTATTTTATTTGTGACAGATCACAATGGAAACGTTTCGCGATAAAGACAGCGAACATTGTGCTGAAGCAATGTCTTGTCTTTCCATGAAGGAATCAAAATGTACAAAGCCACGAAGCAAAGGCGAAACCAGGGGACAAAGGTCTACTGGTCTTACACATGAATGTGGTGTTTTCGGATGTATTGCTGCAGGCGATTGGCCATCACAAATTGATGTTGCTCAAGTTGTTTGTTTAGGCAAGTTCACTTTGTGTGTGTAATAGAAATTAACTGAAATAAAAAAGTATATAAATATATATACGATAAGAGAAAAAAATACGAATCAGAAAACAAAAGAATTTATTTTCACTCAATCAGGTTTAGTCGCATTGCAACATAGGGGACAAGAAAGTGCAGGAATTGTAACAAGCGAGGGTGTCTGCTCGAAGTCATTCCATGTTCATAAGGGTATGGGGATGATCAATAACATTTTCAACGATGAGATTATGAGGAAACTTAAAGGAAATCTTGGAATTGGTCATACTAGATATAGTACAAGTGCAGCCAGTGAAGAAGTCAACTGTCAACCATTTGTAGTACATACTGCGCATGGGGCACTGGCAGTTGCACATAATGGAGAATTAGTCAACACGGAATCTCTCCGAAAAATGGTGATATAGAAGAATTTATATTAACGATCCTTATCGAGCGAATCTGAATTCCGTTTTGATCTCGTATATATTTCAGGTATTAGGTCGAGGCGTTGGTTTATCAACGCATTCGGACTCGGAGCTTATAACACAAGCGCTCTGTTTGAATCCGCCGGAAGGTGAAGTCAATGGACCAGATTGGCCTGCACGTATCAAACACCTTATGCAATTGGCACCGTTATCGTACTCCTTAGTTATAATGCAGAGGGACAAAATTTATGGCGTGAGAGATCCCTACGGAAATCGACCTCTTTGTTTAGGAAAGATTGTGCCAATTGGCAATTTAGGTGCATATTGAAATATTAATAGAAGTGTATGCCTATTTTAATGAATTTTTAATACTAAATGCAAAATAATAACATAAATCGCAGCAAGTAACGAATCTGATGATGATGACGATGAAGCAGAAGGCTGGGTAATTTCGTCAGAATCTTGTGGATTTTTAAGTATCGGCGCAAGATATGTTCGCGAAGTATTTCCTGGCGAAATTGTGGAGCTGACAAGAGAGGGCATTAAAACTATAGAGATAGTGGAAAGGCCAAATAAGAAACCCCAGGCATTTTGTATTTTCGAATATGTCTACTTTGCCAGGAGTGATAGCATTTTTGAAGGTACGTAAATAAGTATAACGTAAATAAGTACACAGAATAAACAGAGCGCGCTAGAGAGAGATGTTTAATTGAAAGATGTTGAATCATGTATTTATTTGTATTATAGGCCAAATGGTTTATTCCGTTCGAATGCAGTGTGGGCGAGTGCTAGCGATGGAATCCCCGATTGAAGCAGATATAGCTAGTTCTGTTCCAGAATCTGGTACTGCAGCGGCACACGGATACGCCAGACAAGTAAATGCAAATAAAATCAGCAACATAACTTCCGAGCAAATATAAGAATGAGCATTTTACATCTAAATACTTTTTCTTTTTGTTACAGTCTAAGATACCATTCGCTGAAGTGCTGTGTAAAAATAGATACGTAGGTAGAACATTCATTCAGCCTAGCACGCGATTGAGGCAGCTCGGAGTAGCAAAGAAATTCGGAGCTTTATCTGAGAATGTAAAAGGAAAAAAAATAGTTCTCATTGATGATTCTATTGTGAGAGGAAATACAATAGGTCCAATAATAAAATTGCTAAGGGATGCAGGTGCTAAGGAGGTAAGTTTTCTTAATATCTTGTCTATATGTATTTACTATATTCGTCATATCACATATACACAGGTTCATATCAGAATAGCCTCGCCGCCACTGAAATATCCGTGTTACATGGGCATCAACATACCAACGAGAGAAGAACTTATCGCGAATAAGCTTGACAATGTAAAACTAGCCAAACACGTGGGAGCGGACAGTTTAACGTACCTTTCAGTGGAGGGACTTGTCGAGGCAGTCAGGTATCGCATGGATAATCGCGAAAGTAATTACATTGGTCACTGTACTGCCTGTTTAACGGGAGAGTATCCAGACGAATTACCCGGTGACCTCGAGTGGTAAAGACGTACCATTTTTTCTAGAATCAAACAAAACTCAGGTTTCTGAAATAAAATAATGAATACACATAGAATTCTGCAGTATATGATTTCACAGTGTTATATTACCTCTTTGTTAACACACAGATGTGAATTTGCACTAACATTTTTTTACAGTTAATCCTAAAACGAATGCAATAATGTTGCTACCTGTTCGTAAAAAAAGTTGAAAGTCATCACTGCATTTCTAGTACATAAAAGCCTTTAATATCTTTTTAATATAGGCAATAAAATTATCTATTTTCAACATTGGATGAAAAACAGGTCATGGAAAATTTGAAAAAAATATATATCTTAAAGTACTATCTTTCTTCTTTAAAATGTATTTTGAATTTTTTAATTCTGATAATTGCAAAAAAAATGCCGGCCATTAAAAAAACTTAATTTTTTCAAGGCAGAGTTTCAATGGATTTTTGACTATATAATGTTTTTCGATATTATACCACTGAAACTAAGTTTCTCAACTTCTTTCTTCAAGTTGAAAAATAGTCAAATTAGCTTTATTGTAAGTGGAGTTGTAAACCGCTAAAATTGTAAAATGCAAATTCGCATGTACTACATAAAAGTCGTAAAAGATGTGTAAATGAAGAGTTTTATCATAGAATAGATGTATTCGCGTATCTAAATATTACTTTGTAAGGTAAATGTACCACTTCGCGCGTGGACATGACCCAATTGTTGGACAAATTGTCACAAATTTTAAATATTAAGCTTTTGATGATGTGTTACTCTAAATAAATTTTTAAGCAATTTTTTATATTATTTAGAAATTAAGTATAATTTATTCATATTAAACATGATACTTTTTATGTTAAATTTTAATTTTTTATTATATGAATAATATGTATATTTAAAATATACATTGATGAGTAATTCTGATTAAAAAATTAATTAAATACAGTATCAAATTATTTATTAAAATTAATAAAAAGGAATGTCCAATAATTGATACACGCATATGTGTGAATGTCCTAATAAACGGACGATTGTCCATAAACAAGCGCACTACTATTTTATGTTTGTACTAATCATTGAATAGTCAAAAGACCGATACATTGGGCGAGTTCAAGACGGCAAAGCGGCTTGTTTATGAACAATCGTCCATTTATTAGGACATTCACACATATGCGTGTATCAATTATTGGACATTCCTTAGCGTATCTGTCTACTGAATGATTAAAAAACATATTTTGTATATATTACATATAAAACTTTATATAAAACTTCACTAATTACAATTTCGATAAATTTTTTTGTACAATCTTGATTGATAAGTAAAATGCGATTCTCTTCTATAATAAAAAATTGCTTATTATTTGTCCAATAAATTGGGTCATACTTTTGTGGACACAGAGACACGTCACATTTTTTGTCCAATAATTAGGACATTTGAATTATATTATATTTATGACTAAATACAATTTATAATAAACGCAAATAACATATTTGATAATGGATTTAGTTTCAGAAAACATCTATTCTTACTAAGCATGTGTAATAAACTAAAATTTTAATGTTTCTAAAGTTTAAATAAATGATTTCATCGTGCAATTCCTTAACTGTCCAATAATTGGTACATTTACCTTATATAAAATATTAAACTTTAATGATCCAAAAGATTTTAAACGTGTGTTTGAATTTTTATAACAGATATACCTATAAAGTACATAAAAAGTAAGGATGAATAAGATTATTTTCTATTTTTTATTAGAATTTAAAAAAATCAATGTTTTTTGGGTTCAATTCAGTATAACTATTATCTCATATAGAAAACGCGTATGATTATATATGAAAAAAATTACAAATAAAATGATATGTAAGATATTCTTTTTAATTATGCTATGTTTGAAATAAAAAAGTATCAAATAATGTTCTTCTTTACACATGTAATATTTCTTATTATAATATATAATTATAATATATATATATATATATATATATATATATATATGATGTATTTAAAATTGAGTTGATTGTGAAATGTGACAACAAAATTTGAAAAATAAAACATTCTTCTTTTATTAGAAATCAAACAAAATTAGTGACGTAATACAAAATTAATATTTAATTTACATTCTTAAATTACAAATAATATAAATAAAGTTACATATAAATGCTTCTCCTATAATATAATAGTTCAATGTCTAAAACATTAATGTTATTGAATCAGCTTTATGTTATTAATGTACAAATCTAAAAGCCTCTCTCATGCTAAGAATATTAATCTCTAAATATTAAAATTTTTTATTCGAATTTTAAAACATCTTACTTTCTCATGTTTCTTCTGATTTTTCTTTCGTTTTTTGTACGATGGGATTTTCCTCATCAGATTCTGAATCCAATGCGATACCTTTGGACTTTTTCTCTTCCCTAATTTTCTGTTTTTCCAAAAACATGCTTAATTCTTCTAGTTTCTCATCACGTACTTTATTCCAAAACTGCATAGCTAGAACAGATGGTTTTCATGTTAAATATAAAACACATACAGAATGAATAAACTTATTCTATTACCTTCTTCTTGATATTTTGGAGGCACACCAGCTTGTGATAATGTTTCTTCATCTGGAATACAACTTTCGTGTTCGGCATCACCAAGGACCTCAACTCGTGGTTTTGTGAACACTCTCTGCATCTTAAGTATCTTTCTTGTTTTAGCAAAATATTTTAGAGTCGGCACTTTATCAAATACCTCATCGTCTACCTTCGGATTGTCATCTTTCTCAAAGAACATATAAGTACCTACAGCATCTTCATAAGTACCCTCATAAAACTAAAAGTACAAAACAATTAAGTTAATTTTTAACTTGATAATGAGGACTGGAAGAGCATATAATTAAAACATTTTTATTTGAAACACATTTTTGCAATATATATATATATATATTATATATATCTCGTATTTTGTATTTTAATAGAATACATGAAAGTATTGAATATTGATAGCAGAACGTTTAAACTTATTTCCAACTGCTAACAACAAAAGTATTTCAAGTACATGTCCATCCCAATTGGTAATATAATGTAAAATATATTTTTTTAATTATAGTTAATTATTAAAATTAACAATAAACCTCCCAGGTCAAGAATAAATTGAGCAATAATGGTTGTTAAATATATCTATAAATTTATTATAATGATAACATTAATTCAGTCACTAACGTGTAACCATCTGCACAGTTAGGACATATAGTGTGGTCGTAGTAATTTCGGATGTCTTAAGAGGAAATTGGTTTCATCTGTTAAGGGGTTTTTTTACGGCTGATGAGGACTCTGTGAAGTCGAAACCTCCCATATATTAATGTTATCATTATAATAAATTTATAGATATATTTAACAACCATTATTGCTCAATTTATTTTTGACCTGGGAGGTTTATTGTTAATTTTAATTTGTTAATTTATTTGAGCTGTTTCAATTTCAATAGTTAATTATTCAACTAATTTTTAGAATAACTCTAAAGTTGATTCTATAGTCGGAAGTCTTAATTTTAATCAGTGAAGTTGGTCAATCAGTGTTAGTCGTACAAAGTTGGCTATTGGTCAACTTTATCGAGAAGACTTAGATCTATTGACACCAATTCAATATAGAATCAGCGTTAAAGTTATCTAGACAAAATCATCAGTTTAATGACTAATAATAGATAGAAAAACAAAAGTATCAAGTGTGAGGTTAGATCTAAACACAAGTTAACTAGATAGTAAAAAACTGGGGTCTAAAAAAGAAATAAATATGAGTGCTCATTAAGAATGCGTTTATAACAATATTTGTGTATATTTAGCATATAGTTCACATTATATATACTATAGAAATTTAGAAATAAAGTGCGCATTTATCGATAAAAGCGCATTCTAAGGACGAACTATAAAAGTTTAAATAACTTATACGGCTTTCACTTGTTAAATTCTACAAACAATAAAATACAACATACCCGTCCATTAATTTCCATTACAGGATGTTCAGTGTCTATTCCAATCATATCCAGTTGAAGATTTTTATTAATGAACGTTTCGTTACCACTAAGCCCTTCAAACTCTACATACACGAGCATTTCTTCTTCATTTTCAGACAACTCATCATCCGATTCCATTTTTGTTATAAATCGTTATTAACTGTTACGAATTATTTTCAATTCACGGATAACAATTTCGTTTCAGACATGACACCTGTATTCAGTTAATCACAGTTAACCAGAGAGAAACCTGAGAGCGGCCACGGCGGCCTTTTTCCTGTAATGCTTTACACTAGCGGCACCAACGTCTATTTTCGAGCTGCGGGAACTACGTACCATGAGAGCGAGCGAGACAGCGAGACGCACGTCCGGCACGTCACGATCGCTGCGCTCGCTGTCTCGCTCGCTCTCGTACGACAAATTTTCTAACCTTCAAAGTACACATAACAATATCCACCTTTTTACGACACTCCTGATGAGAATAAAGCGTTAAAATTGTTAAAATCTTTATTAGTTTGATAGATTTCAGTTATTTCAGCGATTTATTTCGGGAGCGCCGTAAAAAGGTGGATATTGTTGTGTAATTTACTTCAGAGGATAGTGCGTGGCAGTATTTTGAGGTTATAAGAAAAAGGCCCTTACGTCCGTCTCAGGTTTTTCTAAAACTCTGGTTTCAGTGTTAAATAGAATTAAAATTGACGAATAGCAAGCGTTAATTTTAATTACGTGAGATGTTTTGACGACAGTTTCTTTCAACCATGGCATATGTAGCATTTTGTCCAATATATAATCGCTGATTCGCGGATGTCAAACGTAAATGTAGCTGTGACGATGACGTGTTCGTTGCGTACCACGTGTAGGGCATACACTTGACACGTCGCCTGCTACTCTGCGTTGTACCACCAGTCCGCGTTCGAATCGCCTGACGAGTAGTACGTTGGTATACGTTTTGTTGCCACGTTGCTGTCGATTTTCGCACAAAGAGGTGAATCAGAAGAAGAGAGAAGCAAACGACAGTTGTCTTCCGAGTGTCCTGTTCACGAGACTCAACTTGTAAACGATCTGTATTTTACGGAAGATTTGTACAACGCAAGCACTGTCGGAGTATCTGGTACATTTCGAGAGCAAATAGAGTTTTTGAACGAATCTCTTAGTATCTTCTTGGATTGTCAACAAGAATAGCTTGATCATGGTAAGTAAAATTAATTTAAATAATAATTTTTAAATTTAGAAGGGAGACCACAACGCATGTTTTTATGTCTTGGAAAAAGCCTGCCGCACCTAGTGCTACCTCCGTGGGATCTATCGGACGATCGCCCAGCAAATCCATAGCGCCAAGAACAAGTGGTAGTGGTACAGTAAGACAGAGGAAAACCACCGTAACCACCTCCGCCAGGAACAGGAATACTGGTACAAGCTCCGGTGGCATGTGGAGGTTCTATACCGACGACTCTCCTGGCATCAAAGTGTAAGTATAGATCAGTTGATTGAGAGAACAGTAATGCTATAAACATTTTGATTTTTTGATTGGTCAGTTAGTAAACATTTTTTCAAATTAGTAAATTAAATGCTTCAGAACATTTGTTTGTTATAGTGTCAATTGCTACATCACTGATATTTTAATTCTTTATTACAACATTGATTTGTTTTTATATGATATGTTTTAATAATGTTTTAATAAATATTAAAATTGTTTTGTTGCAGGGGACCTGTGCCAGTGCTAGTAATGTCCCTTTTATTTATCGCGTCTGTATTCATGCTTCATATCTGGGGCAAGTACACTAGAAACTAGATTTAAGCTTGATACATTAAGATTAACCTGGGAGAGAGATATGAAACACGAGCGATGCAAATCTCAGCATCGTGCGATCATATATTGGCGCCTCGAACAGGTTAATACATGATTTTTAATATATATAATACATCATTGTTAATACATTATTGAAAGAGAGGAAACTTACAAAACACATTATAACACTATGAACATTGTTACATGGTCAAAAATACATTCATATTTTTATGCCTCGATAGAGGAAATCTATTTTTTTTTAAATAATTTATCAATTATACGTGTATTGTGAAAAAGCGCGCTCGAGAGAAATTATTTAGTTTGCGTTTGTAATATTAAGGGTGTAAGATTATCCAATATTGAAATATAAATGTAACTTATTTTTACCCTGATCTGTTGTGCAAATCAGTTTATGTATAAGTTTATGAACTGTGAAGTATGGATTCCCAAAGCCATCTATCATTCACTGTTGTATGCTTCCTTACATTTGTAACTCTCGACAATCTTATAACATTGAGGAATACATAGGGTTTTGGGAGTAGGATCGAATTCAGGATCTCTACCGATTGTGAATAAATCGTTCTCACACTGAGCCACGTATTAACTTCGCAAATACAATTTATTTACATTCTTATATTTATCTTTCTCTATGAAAATATTTAGAATTTCAGCTGAACTTAACGTATACTTTTTTTTTTAAGAATGTGTTAGGAAGTTATTTTTGAAATTAGGGAGATTCAAATTTAGATTGATTAGACTTAATCTTCTCTTTATAGAATCTTGTATTACATAAGTTTACATTGAAAAATAATTTTGTTTAGTAAATTTATAATAATTTACTTGTAATAGAATCACAGACTGCTATTATTAATGGACACTTTTTGCACAATATAGATTCTGCATAGATGAAATAAAAAGGACAGAATATTTATAATAATTCATAATAATTCTCGTTAAAACGTGCATTTAAAATATTGTAATATTATAATAATTTGACGTATGTTTATTTATTGGAATCATAGTTTAGTTTATTTAAAGTTTTTATATCTCTGCAAACATGCAATCAAGATGTTCTTGCGTTCGCGGTTGCGAAGATTTCTGCATATTCCGTCCCTGAGCATCTTCAGCGAGGCGCCGGCGCATCTAATATTGATTCTTTCAATGCATCGAATTACACGCAACACTTACGAATTAGATAAGAGGGAGATTATCGCAATAAATAAAATGTCTATGAAACGTGTGTCGTTAGAATAAATGGAGGTCGAGGAAAAAATTACAAAAAGAATAACATGGAAGACAAGAACAAATAAAAGCAAAAGTGATGAAGAGTAAAGAAGGAGGACAGAAAGCGGGAACAAAGAGAGACATTTCTGATTAGAGAGATAAAAATGAGAGTGAAAAATATATACATATATATCATAAAAAATAGATTAATATAAGAGATCAAATAAACTAGAGGATAAAAAGAAACACCGTAAAAACGAAGAGATACTAAAGATATATATAGTATGTAGGATTCGAGGAAAAAAAAAAACAAAATCGATATATTACAGTAAAGTCTTTTTTAAGACGCTCTTCAACGCTCTAAGACTTTCATTTACCTGTATCCAGAAATCTGCGTGAAAAGTACAATTATATCTAAAGATCTTGTGATTCCATGAGATAATTAAAAAAATCTAGAAAAATACTTGAGCGCGTATAAACATCAATTCATTTAAACAGTCAAAATTAAAAAGCGCGTCCTTCCAAAGTTGAGGTAGAGCGGGGGGAATTGAGGCACGTCGAAGCGGCGGTTCGTCTGGCGCAGATGTCCCTGAAAATGTAGGCTGGGGACGGGTCGGCGGTGGTGGTCACTGGTCTCTCGGCGGAGAGACGCTCCAGAGGCGTGCGCGTTGAAGGCGGCGCCAGGAGGAAGGGAGCGGAGTGCGGCACGGGGGTGCTGTGCCATCGCGGAGGTGATTCTCGTCCGCGCTCCGACCACCCGACGGGGGAGGCGGCGGCGGCGAGGGGGCGGACACGCGCATCTCGCGCTCCTCCGCCGTCGATGGGCTCGCGAGCGTCGCCGACCCACGGCGGGCTGCTCACATCACACACGTGATATCGTCGTGCGGGGAGTGCGCGCCTCGTTTTAGCCGCGGCGACGTTGGACTTCTCTCGATCGCCCAGCGAAGCGACGTCAGGGCGGGACGCGCGGCACCGCTGGGAAAACCACCGCGAGGAGATGCGGTTCTCCCCGGGAGAGGTAATTTCCTCCGTCTTTCTTTTTTTCTTATGCTCTCTTTCTCTCACCGCTGTGGAAAAATTCGGAGATCCGCAACATATCGATAACGATATATCATCCCGCAAGACAGTGACAGCGTTATTATATATATTTGAAGACGGAGGCGTTCAACATCGTTTTGTTCAACATCTCGCTCGATAGCGGATAGAACCTCTTGCATGCATGTTAGATTATTTCGCAGAAAGAGGGAAGGAGGGAGCTTCGAAGGTAACTCTAAATTCATAAGCTGTACGCGTTAGAGACGTTCTCAAATTATTCAAAATATTGCTGCCAAGAATGCGCATACGGTGTTTCTCATGTCATAAATTTCTTAGCGAATTTCCCTGGTTCTGTGTCACAGCTACGGGCACACGTCCTCGACGCACCGTGTTTTCCGCATTGCGGAAAATCGTAATACAACTACTATATGTCGACGTGTACGAGCAGTTTGTTTATCTGGAGCGTGTAACTTGTTAATTTGCCAGGACACAGGATCCGGTATCGACCGTCTTTTTTTCCTTTCAATGCCGATTTTTTAGAATATAGCATGAAATCCCGCGAAATTTTATAATTTAGAGAATTAAAGACGCATTTTAATTATTACTAAATAGCTGCTTCTTCTTAATTTTTAATTTAATCCAAATTGCTGTGATACCTCTTGATTCTTTTACGTATTTTAAATTTATTCGTAAGAAGGATAATTAAATTAATATTGGATTCACGAAGAAATTTAATTACCTGCTAGCTTAAAGATTAATGCAAATTTCATCTTTTTTAAAGAGTCAACGTATCATTTAATACTATATGTATAATATCATTAATATATTTTTATTTAATACTGTGTAATACTTAAAATATAAATTATAAAATTAAAAAATTTTTTATTTAATTATCTTAGTATTTTTCTCCACTAAATGATAATTGTTGATTCCAAGAGAACGATTCTGACAATCACAGATATGTAGAACTCTAAGTATAGAACTCCGTATCGTTCCTCCAAGGGACGTCCTAAAAACGTCTGAAGAACATCCTATGAACTCATTTCCAAGATGTTTCTCGGCTGCAGGCATATTCATTGTTCAATTTTAGATCAAACTTAAAGGGCTAAATGATCCTCTTCGACGCATCGACACAAATAAAATCGCTTTTCAGAATCCGAGGTAATTCGTTCGGAGACTATTAACGTCGAGGACATGGCGGTCGACATTTTGGACGAGGATCATCTCGCCGTGAGCGCGATTGTGACCGTCGGTATGCAGCTGATCTTCTTCACGATCGCGGCCACTTTCCAGATGGACAAGCTGACGGACTTCGCCGGCGGCACCAACTTCATCATCCTCGCTCTCCTCACTTTCTTTCTCGGCCAAGTGGGCAAGGTATTGTCTAACACGCTACCTGGACCTCCTCACGTGCACATGCGACAACAAGAGGATATTTGACGGATAAAATCTGAATATTAATCCTTAGATCGGGTCATTCCTGTTTCACACATTTTTTTTCTTTGAAACGCTAGGAGAACCAATTAATTAAATCATTTGTATATGTACGATTTATTTTAATTCACAATTCTCACTCTCTACATTCTTTTAGAGTGGATTCTCACTAAAGAGTGACAATTGAGATAATCTTAAAAAAGAGTAGCTTAATTTTCAATTTTTGAAAGTGTGAGATTTCATTCTTTAATCAGTAAACATAAAGAAAGAAAAAAATTAAAATTAATTCGTCTATTATTAATACCTTTTAATAACTATTAATGTCCCTAATCTTAATTATTATATTTGATTGGTAAGTTTTATATTAAAATTACTTAATTTTTATTGCAATCGTAAACGATCTCCGGTAACGATTCCATTTACGGTCCTTGCGGATCAGATTTGTAAATCATTAATTTAGATTGATTTTCTTTCTCGAAGTTCGAATACACCTCGAGATTCACGCAGCGTATTGCCACTGTAGATTTTATCATCGACAGTTTTATTCTCAATGAAACCGTTGCTATAAATAAAACTACAAGATATAATTAATGTCTATTAACGGATGACTTGTGCCTATATCTATAAATTTTTTTCTATGACACTTATTTTATATTATTAGTCGTTCCAAGCGCATCGGTGTAAATAATTGCGTGTCTTTTTCTTGCCCGTGTAGACGTACGACAGTCGGCAGGTCATGGTGACCATATTCGTATGTTTATGGGGTGTGCGACTCTCCGCGTACCTCCTATACAGAATCGTCAAAATAGGCCGTGATAAGAGATTCGACGATCGTCGCAGTAACGTGATCCGCTTCGCCGTATTCTGGACATTTCAGGTAAAGTAGAGAGTACCGCATACATTCGTTTCGATTGCGATGCCTCCCGTTCAATTTTCCTAGCAAGGATGTGATATATCGAAGAGTGTTGCCGATTCGCAGGCTGTGTGGGTGTACGTCGTCAGCCTGCCTGTGATAATAATCAATTCTCCACGACACAAAATACCGCCCGCGCCGAAAACGATGACGACGCTCGACAGCGCCGGCACGGGCCTCTTCTTGGTTGGCCTGCTGGCTGAAACCTACGCCGATCTGCAAAAGTTCGCCTTCAAGCAAGATCCGGTGAACAATGGGAAGTGGTGTAACGACGGTGAGGCTGTACCCTTTGACTTCCAGTAAACACTAATTAACAGCAACATATTTACTCTTTGAAACTTTTAGATCCCACTCTAAAGAGTGAAACCTTTAAAAGATCCTTTTCAAAACTAACTCAATTTTCACTCTTCAGAGTGAGGTTCTTATAGGTACTCTAAAGAATTTAGAGAGTAATACCAATGTTATAATTTTACTTAACAAAATCAATATAAATCAATATAACATATTTATGTTGCACAACAGTTACGTCACAGTATTGTGGTTACGTTCTTGAGTGTGAAATTATAACATTGATGTTATATTACTTATACCTTTAATCGATGGATTTTACGTCCGAAAATTTTTGCGGAGTTTCATTAAATTTTTTGTACTGTTAATAAAATTTTACTTAAAAGTCTAATTGTCTGTAAGATTTCATTAATAAAACAAGTGTTATAAAAATGTTCGTCAATCTGATTTTCATAAATAAATGTATATATATTAGGGGTTCTCTACATGTTCCTTTTTATTTAAGGATTTATTTTACTGAAATCATCTTTCGATAGCAATAAAATAAATTAGTATTTACAAGTCAAAACGTTTCTCTCTAGGACTTTGGAGGCTCTCTCGACACCCAAATTATTTCGGCGAGATCGTCGTCTGGTGGGGGATATTTATAATATCCTTAAACGTTATCGAAGGAGCGGAATGGGTTGTTATCGCATCTCCAATCTTCACGACGCTTATAATTCTATTCCTATCGGGGATGCCATTATTGGAAAAGGCATCGGATGAAAGATATAGAGAGTGAGTATTGCATTAAGAATTTTCGCAAACCTAAACAAAATAATATTCAGTAAAGACTCAAATATGAAATTCAAAACATGTGTTTTACATATATTATAGGTATACAACTTAATTTTTGGCTCCTACATTTGATAGACCACGACATCTATGGCACTTTAAATTAAAAACAATTTTTTTAAAGTTTTTAACATTTTTTTTGTACGAAGTTTGATTTACTTATGTTCTGCAAATATTTTTAGTAACGCGGAGTATCGCTACTACAAGCGATCAACGTCACCATTGATACCGATACCACCGGCTATCTACGTTGAGGTGCCAAATTTTCTCAAGTGCTTATTCTGTTGCGAATTTCCACTGTACGATTCCTTGGACGTGAAGCCGAGATCGGCCGTCACCGAATCAACGTCCATCAGCCTCGCAGCGTCCACGTAGCTGTAACCACACGCCGGACGTCCGAATTCTAAGTCCGGCGTGCAGTCGATGGCAATAGCTTCAACCAGTACAGCCCTCTGAGTGCTACTTTATCCTTCTCTGCAACACCGAGAACTCCGTCTATCTACTGACAAAAATATAAACTCGATGGCCGAACCGTAAATCCCAGTCTCAACATTCTATCAAGCGCGATATCGGCACGATCTCGAGGAGTTAGACTGTACTTGGTCATGCACATCAATTTCGATATGTGGGAATCGAAGAGGGATCCCTTTTCAAAATGGAAAGGTTTATAAAAGATGAAGTATTATTATTTTTGTAACTAAAGATCCTTCCAGGCGTTAGGCATAAACGTTACCGGTGACTTTTCGTACAGAATCGAATGATGAGCTGAACAAAGAAAATTATTTTTGTAGCGATGTTATATGGGTACCAATGTAAAAGTAACTTAACGACCAATTCGAGCATCGTTTCTATGCGACAAGTCAGTGGTAATCGACGACTTGATTAGCAGCTTTATTTATGTACGTATACTTAAACTTTTATTTTAGATACAAGAAGATTAGATAAAAGAAGAGAGATTGAAAATAATATATAATTTGTATGTTCCAAATAATATCCAGGCTTAAAAAAATCTCTTAAAAAGCATCACTGTATTCAATTAGTCAAACGCTACTTTAAATAAATAATATTATATGTTGTTCCAAGAGAGTAGTTCTTGGAAATAAATTAAGCAGCCGTTTACCGCGCTCGCTGTCACTAACAAAAAAGTATGTGTCTTAAATATTGCAGAAACGAAATTAAAAACGAGATTTTAATGTAATATAAATAAAACGATGTAGCCCATTTTTGAAACTAATAGTAATTTTGAAAATTGATAGTTCGTAATGATTGGCGATTGATACTGTTGATTCGTTGAAGGTACAGTAATTAGCAGAAACGCATATCGAAAAACAAATGGAGCGTAGTGTATTCCGATTTTCGTAATTCGACAGCGAATAAGCAATATTTATCGCCAAATACGTCAGACGAACATGTATAAATAATAAAATATTCAAGTTTACATTTCACCTAATCACAATTGCTACTTATTTCGTTAGTATGTTCATGTAGGGGGGATGCTTACAAAAAAAATTTAGATGCAATATGGAGAACGTAGTACATACGTTCACGTGTCCCCATTGCAATTCCGAGGCTTTCGATCGAGATATTGAGTCATCATAGCAATATTAAACATATCTCCGTGCCGATAGTACGTCCCCAGAATACGAAATAAAAAGAAATTCCGAAGGAAATCTATAAAACATATAGAATTATTAATTCAAATTAATAACGCGTCTGAAACGAATTCCTCATGGATAAATGATTCAAATGTTACTTCCTAATACTTTATTGTTACATACGTCTTCGAAGTTTAGATAATAAATAATTACTGATTCTGTGAGTTGTGGAATTATTGATTGACTACCTTGGCCTCTTAATTACATTACAACACGATCTTATCAAATGCATATTATAATATCATTTAAATGTGATTTGAAGAAATTTAATTCGGAGAGCAGATCGCAATAAACGTTGACAGATTACATAAAGTTCGCTTCATATTTATAAACACATTTTATTTGTTCGTATGTATATCATTAATAAATGGTGATATAATAATGACAATGAAATGTATAGCGCCGAGCATAAAACGAGCAGTCATATTATAATAATTATTAATATATTCTTCTTACAATAATCTTACTGTATTGAGTGGGCCTACCTACGGTGCTTGCAACGTTATGGTCTCTCTTGTCCAAATGTTTCTTCCATTCTCTAATTTATATTATTTACTCGCACGTAATAATCCATAATATGTAACCACAGGTGAAAACATATGCGCCGTCCTAAGTATAAACAGCATCATCCACTAATCTTTTTTTTCCATTTTTCCTTTACATGATCATAATATACATATACATACATATATATATGTATATATATGTATATACATAATCATGTGTATGTATATATATATATATATATAATTGTTATCAATAATATAGTAAGCTACTTAAATGTAATATATCTCGTGTCTTCTCGTGGAATATGTTCAGCTGCCGTAGAAAAACTACGCAGCGCTCGTAGAAAAAACTTCAATTCCCGTTATACATCAAATTGTCGATTTTCGATGCGTGAAAGACACTTTGTATTACGCAAGGTAATTTTTTTTCCTTTAACACGTCCGAAAAATCGTATATCAATACGTGGGCAGCACAGCGTTTTGAGTACCAAGGGAAAAGAGATCAAAACATTACCTGTGCCTCTTCGCTAAAAGAAAGTAAAAAGAAAATAAAAAACCAAGGATTTTTTTTTTTTGGAGGGAGCAAGGAATGGTGGATAAGGGGACGAAATATTACGACTCTGCTATACACGAATGGCATCTTCCTCGCGTATCTAAGTCCAACTGCATTCGCGCGCGCGTCTACGTTAATACATATACTATAATATACAAATAATAGATAATAATAATAATAATAATATGTGCCGTCCATCGCTTATCGCGGTTCCTTACTTCCGTTCGTCTAAAAAGTGAAAAATCAGAAAGGACTACGAAAATATCATACAGTCCTTGTGAAATATAGGAATGAGAGTCGTCGATTAAAATAAAAGTTGATTGCACGCGCTTTGAGATGACGATGAAATGCAAACCGGATTCGCGGCCGGGCGGAAGAGCGGATCGAACTACTTTTCCGTACGGACCGCTCAACTACATTTGCATTCTACATTAGGCTGTCTGAGGACGTCCGTTGCTAGCTGGTCAATTGGCGTGACTCGACTCTCAATTCGATTGTTAAAAGAACGCGCGCGCGGGCGCGCGCAAGAGAGAGAGAGATAGAAGTAATTCAGTCAATCGATGACCTAACATTTGTTTCCGTAGGACATCGGATTCCCTTTCTCCTATCATAATTACGGTTAGTTTAATATTATTATTGTTGTCACATTCTTATTAATATTATCGTTATGTTAACATTAGCGTTATTATTAGCATTACCGTAATGAAAATCCCGGATCGCGTCGATGAACCGGCTACTAGACGCAACGGTGTTTCCTCAGATGATTTTTCGATAGAAATCTCTCAATGATACGCGTCGTAAAAAATCTCACGTCGTACAAAATCTTTTTAAAAATTTCATTTAACACGATATAAAAGCGAAGTAAAACGCGCGATACACGTGTGAACGTATCGTAAAAAAAAAAAGAAATTAACATGAAAAAACTAAATTAAAGAGAAGATTGCGTTACGTTGCGCCAAGACGCAAGGTAACTTATACACAGCAAGGATCATTGAGGGAAGCGAAGTAGGAGACGCTCATTCTCGCCTTAAAAGGCGGGGATCAGTATGCCCGTTCACGCGACCCTATCCTCGCTTCTTCTTCTTCTTCTTCTTCTCTTCTCCCGTAACTACTTCTATCTTATAGCGTAACGCTATATTGCATTTGGCCACTGTCGACAAAGACCCCAGCTGCGCCAGACTATTGCAGTTCGTATATTGCAATCCTACGTTTCTAATGACTTATGAGATAGCCCCGTTTTTTTTCGTTTGTCCTTAGCAGAGCAGAGAAAGGGCGTGTGGATTAGAGAATAATCGTTCCGGTCGTGTGTGTTTCGAGTGTGTCAATGTGAAGTAACGCGTGATGCGCATTGAACGTATATAAACGAAGTATTAACATTATACATGAGTCTATTAATATCTATACGTATAAGTAGAGAGCTCTAGTCCCAAACCTTATCTCTCTCTCTTTTCGCTTTCTCTCTTACACACACACACGCGCGCGCGCGCATGCATGCATGCATACATACACACATACATACACCCGCGCACACATACACACACACATATTCTCTCTTCCTTTCTCTTTCGTTCTTTCTTTCCCTCTTTCTTTCTCCCTTTCTCTTCAACACACAATCTCTCATTTCCGGCAACTCCCTTCCTCGTCATCATTCTGTACGTGCTTTCTATATCGTCCTCGTCTCCGCCGTCGTACACATTCACGCAACCACGTACACACGCGTACATACACACACACACGCACACACTCTTACCGCCAACTATCCCTCCCTCTCTCTCTTTCTATCTTTATTCATTCGCCAATACACCTTCGTGACTCTTCGCCTTTAAATCCTTGAAACGACTTATTACTTCTCTTTACAACGAAAGACCGCTTATTTGCCGTCCTTCTCCTTTTCTTTGTTCTCGTCAACTTCCTTGTCCTTCTCGACTTCCTTCTCCTCCTTGTCTGCTTTTTCCTTATCGCCCTCTTTTTCCTCCTTGGATTCTTTGGACTCCTTCGCCTCCTCCTTGCCTTCCTTCTCCTCCTGCTTTTCAGGCTTCGGCAGATGCGTGTTCATGTCCAAGCTGGAGCATATCTCGTCCCAATCCGGGAAACATCGTTCTTTAACGCGCGAGCAATGTCCGACCAAGTTGGGACAGTTCTCGACCATGTAGTCTCGCAGGCTGTACGGCGTGTCTTTGTCGATGTACAGGATTTGAGCAAGATGCGCAAATGCAACTACGTCCATCTGCACAAAATTGCCGGAAAATTATACAAATTGTCAAAATTATAATTCATAATCTATATTTTCTATCAATCTTTTATGTTGGAACATTTCTTTTTAATTGGAATAAGTGAGATCAAGAATGAAATATTTCTATTTTTGTTCTCTCCTAAAGTTCTCTTTATTAAAATTAATTCATTTTGAATCGGCTAGAATTCGAAAACCATTAAAGTTCGAGTCAATAATTGTGTTATTTGCTCAGTCTGATGTGTAATATCTCTGAGATAACTGAAAACAGAAAGCTTTTTCGCACGACGCCCAGCGAGAACACCGTTTCGCCGCAGGCAGCACTGGTTTCACCGATATTATCTTCGGCATCAGATTACAAGTAACTGAAGCTATTATTTACACAGCGAACCAAGTACCACGTTAGAACGTGCTACAGCGGTGCATAACACAAGAACTCTTGACCGTTATGGACAACATGTTAACAGATTTAATGATACTCACGGTAGTTGGCTCGTCCCCAAAGAAGAAGGGCTTGTCAGCAAGCGTGTCCGAGAGTACCTTAAGATCGGTGCAGCCGAATTGGGACACTTCCTCCGGACTGTGCACGCCCATTCCCTGAGCCTTCACTTTCCTTGCACCCTGCAACCAATCCAACTACTATCTCACTACAAATGGTCATAATATTTTGTTCTACAATTTCGCTTCCTTATCGCGATACTACCTCTAGGCAGCACATTCATAGCACATTTATAGCTACAAGCGCAATTTGTGCACTCCGAGCGAATACTATGAATGATTCTGGAGATAGCATAAAATAAATATTGTGATAACGTGTAAATAGCGAAACTTGGTCGAAGTAAAATTCGGACAAGAATAATATTTTGAAGATCGTACTGGTTTCAGTAAATATTTTTAGAATCTGCATCTATAGTTTCAATAAATTTGTACTTGTATTTCATAGTCATCGTTATATTCCATATTATTAATTGTTAATATCTAGCTGAAAAACCTCGATCAGGACTCAACCAAGAGAGCCTTCAGATGATAGCTGATGAGACTAGCTACCAATACTAGGAAAAATTATGTAATGATAAAATTACAATTAGTATTTATATGAATGCAAACTAGCATAATGTGAGTGATACATGCATAGCTAAATTGAAAAACGTGAACATACGAAACATCGTGCGGTCTCGACAAAATCAGTGAAAGAAGGTCGAGGGAAGATTATTTTTGCATATAGCGTGACCTTAGTTTGCATAACGATGGAAATAATGTGGAATATAATTATGGAAATATGCAAATAAGTTATACGAAAACAATGAATGCGAATAAATTATTAAAATTGAATGAGAAGTCGTGAGAGACATGGAACTTTCATTCAAGTGATTTCTATCTAACGTCCAAGTTGTATGCTAAATCACACTGAAATCACACCGAAATCACGGTGAACGGAAAGCGAAACTTACCTTGCGTCCGAACGTGAGCTTGAAGAAGAAGTTCAGAATAGCATTCGGGATACGTGATCCCAGGGCGAGTTGCAGATTAACCTTGTAACCCTTCAGCACCTGATCCAGGTTCTTCGTGCGCCAGCACGCGACAACCCAGACCAGGTGGTTCTCGATCATGGATATCATGGCGTGAGAGACGCTTCGCTGCTCGGACGTAAGACCGGCGTCTAAGTCCTTGCCAAATTTCTGGCTCAGCTCCCGTAGGATGATAGTACTGTCTGCGATTTCCTCACCGTTCAGCTCGACGAACGGCAGCTGACCCTTCTTGGAGCGGAATTTCATCTTGTGGTCAACATTCTGGAAACAACCGAATTAGTCAGTCTTTTGCCAAAGCGACAATAACAAGATATGTTATACTATAATAAAACTATACGTCATATTATTAATATCTATAATATTTATATAATAATAAATTTATTATAGCAATGACTAAATGTATCTAGAGTATTAAAATAAAAATACATATTTTGACACATTATTTTTTACTTGTTTGTGCAGTGGTGCTTCGCAATTCTCATTAAATCGCAATACACTAATAAGAGATAAGCGACACTAGAAAATTAGAGCGCTTCAGGATTCGAATCGAGGTCTCCTCTCCATATTGGTAGACTTTCGTCCTGAGCCCTGACGCTGATAGCTTCTAGGTCGCGCCTATTTCTATTAAATTTCTTACACCAGATTCTACATTTAATTTGAATAACTCGGAATAAAATTGCGGTGAGATTTTCTCTTTCGAGCAGTCTAATAAAGTCGTTCCAGATTAATCGATAATAATCATCTGTAATTATTATTATTCCGTATTTTAGTAATGGAATATTGTAAAACGCTCTATTGCGATTCTTCTTTAATAAATAATATTGCACTGAGATGGATAGGTATACCTACACTCTCGCGAGGCACATGCTCTATTTATAGACGTATGTACCGCGTTAAATGCATAAGTGGGATATCGTGGCTTTCACAGGTGAATCAGCTTATTACATGTAATAACTGCGAACGTTTCACGCGTTGATATACAGGGTGTCTTAGAACCATCACTCGATCAATAAAAATTCTCCGGCATATTTTTTTCTTAATGATAATTTAATTAAAACGAATATTTTATTATTAATATTTAATTAGTTTTAAAATTAAGTTTCTATTAAATTTCTATTAAAATAAATGAGCTTTCTAGAATAAACTGGAAAACAAAATTTTATATCAAGTATTCATACGATTAAAATTGAATTTGTTAAATTAGATTGATTATACTTTTATACTTTTCATGAGAAACATTTTCCTAATTTATTAATAAATTCTTGTTGGCATAAAATCGATTTTAAATACGTTACTCTTTGCTATTACTGGGAAAGGAATTACAATGTCCGAGAAATTTACTTACTTAATTTTATTATACAATTTAAAATGTACCGCATATATACATAAATAAAATAGATTCTGTTCCCTAATTGTACCGCCGCTTTTTGCTAATTAGAGAAAAATAAAATTTAAATGTTATTTTCACAAATATACTTTCCACACAATTTCGTCACGACAGTATAATATCATAAATCACGTAAAGTGTTACATTGATAGTGATTACACAAAGTGTCGTTTTATCATCAGATTAGTTAGTACAAGTGTCGTTAAACCTGCTAGGTGAGATCCGCGTAATACTCGAACACACACAGCGTGCCTTCTCGCTCGCGCAATTTGCCACGTGGAGCAAGTACTTTGTGTTCGTAAAATACAGAGGATAACATCTCCAGTCAAAGTCAAGCGAGAAGAGCGGATAGTACAATAACGTCTCGCCCCGAAAAGCTGCTCGCCGGCGCACCGGAATGGAAATGAAACGGAACAGTAAATCGCACGGAAATTCATAAAGGCGCGCGAGAGGGAAAACGGAGAAAAGGATTAAGAGACGCGTGTGAGCACAACGTGAGAGATACGGAAGAGTGACGAAACGAAAGCTCGGAAGAGCGAACTCGAAACGAACGAACGAACAAAAGGAGCACGAATGCGCGGCGGGGGCCGAGTCGAGGTCGGGGGCGTACGAATAAAAAAAAAGGAAAAAAAAAAGGAATGGAGACCGAGAGGAGGACCGCAGTGCTGCGTGAAATTTTAGCCGTGCTAGAGAAAGCGGCGTTATACGCGCCGCATACGCGGGTCCGTGTCGACACGAGGAGGAGGCAACGTACGTAGAGCGGCGAGATCTATTGCTCTAGTTTTAACCCCTTCAGTCGGGCGCATACGGCGGCGAGATCGATGAGGGCTGGTATATAGCCGCTCATAATATGCGTTTGTCAGCTGTACGAGGGCCGACCGAATGCTTGCAACGGCAAGCGTGAGTTATCCGAATGAGTCATCCTTTTACCGCGCGTTTCTCGTTTCCCTTCATCGATCGATGTAGCTTCTATTTTTTCCTTTTAATCTTTTTGTCGATTCGCACTCTCGAGTAGATCACTGATCTACGAGCGAGAGAGCATCGCGACGTGAAATCTTTCGTGAATCTGTCAACTTTACTCAAGGACATGAAAGTCAACGGAAAATCGAAATGACCATATTTTGGATTCTTATATCAATAAATACCCAAAAATCATCATTTTTATTCCCTCTGACTTGGTACGTTCTCTTTGGGTAATTGCGAAGGAAATATGCGTCAAGATTGGCGCCCATCCTGATTCCACGACTCTCTCGTTATTTAGTTAAGCCGATTTTAATCTGTCAATAAAACGAAAAACGGGGTGGGGTTCGCAGGGCGAACGTTGCTCCTCGGCTCGCCCTCATTCCGGCTCATTTGCGTCCCTATTACGTCATGTTTGTTATTTATCCGTTACATGTTTGATTTCGATATGATAACGATAATAACGAAGGCGAGGTCGGGGCGGAGTCGGGTGCACTGAACGCCCATTGCCCTCGATGTAACATGCATCGGCATCCCTATTACGTCATGTTGTTATTTACCGGATTTTCTCGCGTTTTTCGAGAGGACAGCTCAATCGATTCCGGCTGGTGATGACGACAGGAAGAATTTTGCAGGATGTACTCTTCTCGATATAATATATCTCTATTATATCATGTTTATGGAAATTTCTTTTATAAAGCTCTTATTTAAATTTTTATGGTGTTTTCAAGCGTATTTATGCATTATTCAATATTATTGATTTGTTATTAGAGTCTTCTAAACTTTTTAACGAAACTAATGCCCCTATTTGTGACGCTTATTATATATCATATTTATGGAAATTTTTCTTATATAGTCCTTACTTAAAATTTTATAGCATTTTTAAAGCACAAATGTGCATAATTTTATTAATAATCGCTGTTAAAAAGAATCTAAATTTTTTATTAACAAAAAAGGCTCACTGAATAAAACTAAAAGGCTCCTATTTTATAATTCTTAACGGCAATAACAATATCATATTATTATATTATAATAATATATTTCTTGGCTCTCTACTGAATACAATTCAAATAAATACAATATATTGAAGAACCATATTAAAGGTCGAAACGTATGAAATTATATTACATAAAATTGTATTATAATTATATCATATAAAAAATATAATATTCATGTTAACCAGCCGGGCTCAAATAGCTCCGATAACATATTCATTATATTATTATTGCGCAGCTTTTTCACCATTTACGCAACCTTATTATTGTTAAAACTTACAATTTTCATAAACGTGATAACAGAAATGCATTATACAGACGAGTCGAGAAGAGAGTGGGCCGATCTTATCGTTATCTTCGATAATTTCTGAAGAGGGAGTTTTAGACGAACCACCCTACATAATCCAATGAAATCTACAAGGGACATCCCCCGAGAGAACACCCTTCCGATCTCCGTCCTCGTTACGACCCAAACGCGCGACGAGGAGAGATACGTACTTCGCGGCTTCGATTCCGATTCATGAGAACGTTAACGAGAAGAGTGAATTCACGGGGCGGGGTCGCCTGTAACGTTCGCTCGCTCGTTCGCTCGCGCGCGCGGAGGAGCCGAAAGAAGTGGACGACGAAGGGTGGCTAGCCGGATCGGTGCAGGCGCGCAAGGGAGGAACGCGCGAAGCGGAGGACGATGAACTCGCGCGGCGGCAGGCAGCTTCCGTCGCCTGGCAACGTCCCCACTTGGCAGCCCCCTCCCTTCCCCTCCCCTCCCCCCTTCCTACCGGGCACAGCGTCGAAACATTGGCGCACATGCACGTACATACATAACCCGCGCTGCATCGTGCACGCGTGTCTCTCTATGTGCCCTCGTATATACATGCCGCATATATATGCATTGCGCACCACGCGCTTGTTGTGCATGATGATTTTCTCCTTCTCTCTCCTTCGCTCGACACTCGCCCCCTCCCCCCCCCCCTCTCTCTCTCTCTCTCTCGCTCACTCCGTCGTTCTCGCGCGCTCTTTCTTGTCCCCGTCATCGTATAGTCACCCTCGTTGATCGTAGTCGTGGCCGCCGTCGTTTGCGCTGATATTGATCGCACGGGATGGTGCCGTGAACCGCCGCCGACGCCGCCGACGTCGCCGTTTGCGCGATGTAAGAGCGCGCGTATGCATCGCGCCGAAAAACCAGTCTCGATCGCGGAACAGGGGCAACATCTCTCCCTGCTGAAGGGAGACGAGGACAAGAGGCAGACAGAGAGAGAGAGAGAGAGAGAGAGAGAGAGAGAGAGAGAGAGAGAGAGAAAGAGCGGGGATGTCTCTGTATGTAGCACAGATGTGTGTCCAGGGTCAAAGTTCGGAATACGTTATCGATTAGACTGGACCGTTTTACGTTAGGTCCAGGTAAAGCAAGGGCGTTTGAACCGCTGTAGCATCGATCGCTTTTGATTACGTTCTATTTAGAGCAGAAGCTGTGGGCTTCTCTTTAAGCTTTCTCGGAAAATGTGGCGGTCGTTCGAATTATGATACTGCAATCGGACGAGTCGCGAATATGAATCGACACATTCTTTTTTTCCCTCGCAATTAACCCTGTAACGGCACACTTATTTTCAGCATCTCAGAGCACACTCTATCCATGAGTCATTTATGTTCGACCTAATTTTGAGCACTTCAAGAGAGTGCGCTTAAATTCCGTAAAAATTCACGCACGCTCTTTAATGTATACTAAATTATTCTCTCGATCATTCTGTTATGTGGATATCGGAGAAAAGTTTGGAAAATTTATAAAAATTATACAGATATGTGAAAAACAAGAACTTTTATAATTGAGATGGAACTCGAATGACCCATGTCAACCGTTGGAAGACAGACGGTTAGTTATAACGAAAAGTATAGTTCAATATTTTTTATTATTTTTCGAAATATAT